AATATTTGAAATCTTTGCAGATACTTAGGTATATTTTAGGTACTTCATGGAAGCGGGCAAATCGATATCATATGTGAAGGGTTCAAACCCATTTCCGAGAAAATATCTTACTATGTATCTCCTAGACAAACAGTAGAAGTGCTGATCGAAAGACATAATAAAGTCATCGCATTTTCCAAGAATCTTGATAAACTTTTATCCTTTATAGCCTTGATGCAAATTTTTTGGAATACTTTAGTCATCTGCTTCCTAGGCCTGCTCATTGTAATAGTGAGTATCGTAATGCCCGTAGAAATGTCTGGCGATTGATATTATATTTCATTACGTTTTGTTAATCATTTAACGAAATAGTCTATTCATAACGCCGCTGGTGTCGTCCTAGTGAGAGCCATAATTGCTTACTTTGACATAATGATGGAAATTTTTATCTTCTGATTTGCTGGAGAATACCTTAGCCATAAGGTTAGTGAATATTTAAGTTACTATCAAGTCTAATTTATTTTTTTATGCAATCTAATTTGGTAATTAAGTATTGACAAACAGATTTCGTTTGTTTGAAAAAATGACCGATTGAAAACAATTTTGTATAGTTTGTGTTAACATGCATCTGAAAATGTACTTATGTTACATGGAAGTTAATCTTCTCGATAGAGGTTTTTACTTTCTTTGCACGTTTCGTTAAAAACCATTATATATCAATCATGCATGAGAATCCAGGATGTATATTGCTACTTTTTAATGTACCAGAGATATTTTATGATACACATAAGCCATAGAAATATTATTTCCAATTTTTTGAATAAATAAAGATGTTCGGTTACTTTAAAAATTTTTTTACATTTGTCTCCTTTTGTTTTGCTCCCAGAGTCGATCACTCGGCGATGCAGGATACGAAACTTCATGGTATAACATGTCGCCCAGTTGCAGTAAAAATATATTATTTTTTATCATGAGGTCTCAGAAACAAATCTCTATTACTGCGGGAGGAATGACAAATTTATCGTTAGAAGCATTCACGAACGTAAGCCTACTGATTTTTTCTTCTTCTATAACTATATGATTCCTTGCTTTTCTCCTAAATAATGTCAGAGCATGTTAATAAGTGTACCGCTTGTACATGTATATGTACATATATGCATCTTTTC